TAATTTACAGCCAGTTAGGAGATATAAGTGGAGGGTTTTGCCACAAGGAATGCTAAATGGTCCTACTTTGTGTCAAAACTGTACAGCAACCTTTGGAAATAATTCTTAAGAAATTTTCACAATCTCTTGTTTATCATTACATGGATGACATTCTTATATCAGATTCCAATAAAGAAACTTTGGAATGTATGTTTGAAATGTTGAAGGATGTTATGCCACGTTGGGATTACAAATCGCCCTAGAAAAGATAAAAAGAGGAGATTCTATTAACTATTTAGGTTACTAGATAGACTTACAAAGAATCAGACCTCAAAAGGTCCAAATTAGGAGAGATTGATATCAAACTCTTAATTCTCTTCAGAAATTATTAGGGGAAATTTCTCAATTACAGACAATTATTGGTGTAGAAGGAAATGACTTAAAGCATTTTAAAATGGTCCTTAAAGGTGATAAGGACCTAAACAGTCCTAGAATATTATCTGCAGAGTAAGAAAAAGAGTTACAATGGGTAGAAAACAGAATATTGGATGCACACATAGATCGGATAAACCTTGCCATCCAGAGAATACCCTTCTGGAATTCTGATGCAGAGGGAGCAAAATATATTTGAATGGATATTTCTGCCACATAAAAAGAATAAAAAGTTAAAGACATATATAGAAAATATTCCTGTTTTGATATTAAAGGGAAAATTAAGACTTTGTCAGTTGACTGGAAAAGATCCAGCAGAAATTATAGTACCTTTAACTAATGAGGAAATTTCCTCCTTGTGGAAGGATAATGAACATTGGCAAATAGCTCTTACTGACTTTTTGGGAATAATTAGCAACAACTATCCCAAAACTGACAGAATTAAATTCATTAAAAAGACAGTCTGAATTCTTCCACATAATATACGACAAAATCCCATTTCTGGAGTTCTTACCTTCTACACTGATGCCAAAAAATCACGTAAGGCAGGTTATAAAGCAGGTGAAGAAAGTAAAGTAGTTCAAAGTCCATATACATCTGTACAGAAGGCAGAAATATATGTAATTCTCATGGTACTTATGGATTTCACAGAACCTCTTAATATAGTTATGGATTCCCAATATGCAGAGAGAGTTGTGTTATACATTGAGACTGCAGAATTCATTCCTGATAATACAGAATTAACTTCTCTGTTTTTACAATTACAGGAAGCTATCAGAAACAGAAGTCATCCTATATAAATTACACGTATCAGATCCCATATGGGTCTGCCAGGCCCACTAGCACAAGGCAATGATGAGACTGATTGTTTATTAATAGGAAGTGTGCTAGAGGCCTCAGAATTTCATAAGAGACACCATGTAAATAGTAAAGGTTTGAAAAAGGACTTCACCACTTGGCAACAAGCCAAGGAGACAGTGAGAAACTGTCTTACTTGTTCCTTTTATAATCAAACTCCATTGCCAGCAGG